GTTCCCCTCGGCTGCCGTGGTGGTCAGTGCCTGGGGGACACTGTGGTCAGCCGCCTCCCGGGAGCAGCGCCAGTGGAGGCTGTTGGGTGTGGGCAAGGGTGGTCTCCTGGCCCGGCTGGGCGTGTCGATGGGAAGCAGCAGCGGAACTGGTTGAAGACGAGTCCCGGCATGCAGGCCACTGGGCAGGCACCAGCTCCACAGGCCTGGGGATGGGGTGTGGGTTGGAAATGGGTGCTGGCATCGGCCAGGGTCCCGTCCCCCATGGACACCCTGGTCCCTCTGAGCGTAGAAAGCACGAGGAGCGTGGTGTGTGGGAAGAGCCCTTAGGTTCCCGTTTGACACCACTAAAGGGCCCCTGCTGTCCTGAGCGGTGCTGTCCACCCTCCTGGCCAGGAGCCAGGAGCGGGAGTGGCAGGGTGGGGGAGCTGAAGTAGGATGGGGTGTCCTGGGTGCCACAGCTCCCTCCACGGCCGCCCCTGGCCCTCGCTGGGCCTCGCCCTGGGCTGGGCGTCACTCCCTGCCTGTCACCCTCCCTGAACAGGTCCTGGCTTGACTTGGTGGAGAGACAGTGCGCTGATAAATCACTCTGCCTCTCTGCTGGAAGGGCCCGTCCTCCCACAGTAAGATTTTGGGGAGACAGGAGATGGTGGTTCCGGACAACCTGGCATCCACAGCGCCCTCCTGCTGGTGACTTCAGTGAGGTCACCGGCAGAGCTGCTGAGGGGAGGTGCAGGGCTGGGAGCCGAGGTTGCCCTGGGTCAGCCTGGGCCTGAGGAGGGTCCCACCCAGCTTCAGAAGAGAGAGGCTGATTGCTTGTTCCTCGGGGCAGGGGGCCTGCTGGGGTCAGGGGTTTCTTGGTTCTTTGTGTAGAGCCGGCCGGCCGGTGTGCTGTTTTGGTTACTGAGGGAGTGTGTGGGAAGTGGGGACCCGGGGGCTGCTTTGGGGGCTCCATGGCTGTGAGCACTCCTTCCCCAGCACTTGCTCGACACCAGCATTCTCAAAGTGCAGCCTTTGAACCCTCAAGCACCCAGGAGCCTCCTACAGGGCAGGTCGGTCTCTGGGCTGCAGACTGGGGACTCTGACGCCGTCTCCTGGGGTTCTGGGAGCCCCTGGATGAGGCAGTGGTTTGGCTGTCACCTGAAGCCAGTGCGGTAGCCCCGGAGTGTGACATGGGGCAGAGGAGTCAGCCTGAGTTTCAGGATCCCAGATCCAGGAAACAGCACCCCTGCAGGCTGGGGGTCGCAAGTTCAAGCCCTGTCTCAAGTTTTAAAAAAGATTAAAAATGGGCAGCTGGGAACGGAGGTCAGTGTGAAAGGCACTGAGTTAAATCCCCAGGGCTGCAAGAACAAAACCAAACCCCCCAAAGAAACTGATTTCTAAGCACTGTGACTGTGTTTGCTCTCTGTGGCGTGGAATTCGGTGGACCGAGAGCGATGGGTGTTTGGGGGGCTTCAGGCCCCTTTGCCCTTTGATCTGGATCTATGTGGGATCCCCTGTCTCCCAGCCCAGAGGCAGGGCTGCTCAGGGAGGCCTGAGGGTGAGCCCAGCTGATAAAGGCGGCTCTCCGTCCTTGCTCTGTGACTAATGGGACTTGTTGACAGTGGCACAGCTCCTGTCCACAGAAGCAGGGGTTTTGTTGCTGCACCCCGGCAGGACAGGCAACCGGACTGTTCCACTCCACGGTGCAGAGGCTCCCAGCGCTGCCCGGGGTGGCATTGTCTTACCCTCTGCTGGTCCAGCCCAGCCCCAGAGTCTAGTACCCTAAACTCTGCAGCTCCCCCTTTCTGAGGTCCCTGCATAGAGGAGCACCTGGGGTGGACTCTGGCGAGGGAGGTGGTGGCAGCTCTGCCAGGGTCAAAGCTTGATTTTTTCTTATCGATTACCACCATACCTCTGGAGGATGGTTCCAGAGTTGGAAGTTGAACATTCATTAATGTCAAAATTCTGTAACTTCCTTACACTTAGAACACAGTGATGAAAAGATAGTGTGATCCTGGGAAGTCACGAAGCTGTGCCCGGGATCTGTGTCTTATTCATCCCTTGAGTCAAGCAGCAGGTGATGCGTTAGTGTTTTGGGGTGAGGGAGGGGCAGTGCCTCTGGCTAGTACCTGTGTCTGCCTTTCTCAGTTGAGCTTCTTGGGGACACCTGTTGACACCCCAGCTTGTGGCAGCTGGGACACTTTCATGCCCAGAGATGCCCTGGGGAAGTGCTGTGGTCCAGCCCATCCTGCAGCCTTGAGTGGCCTGCGCCCGTGTGAGGGGCTTGCTTACAGGGACAGTGCTGAGGAAGGGGCCCTCTCCCGGGTGGTGTGAGGCTGGCAGACTCCACACGTGCCCTCCCTGTGACTGTTTTGAACTTTGCTGTGTCCTCTGTCCCTCAGAAGGGTGGGCAGGCACCTGGAGGCTTCACCCGGGGGTGGGGCTCTGTGATTCCTGCTCCGGGCTGCTCTCCTCCCATGACTCCTGGAGCCTGTGGCCACGTTGCAAAATCTGAGGCAAGGTTTCCTAAACCGGATGAATTTAGGTGGAGGTGATGCCTCGCTCGGGCGGACTCAGGGTGAGGGAGGACAGCAGAGGAGCATGCACCAGGCGTGTGGCCGCCGGCTGGCCGGGTGTCTGAGGCTGCACCCCTACCTGTCGGAGGTACGAACCTCAGCCCCCGCCCCAAAGAGTCAGGGGGAAAAGGGTTCCGGCCTTCGGGAAGCCCACACCTCCATCCCTTGCCTGCTAGGCTTCTCCGCATAGCCGAGACAGAGCTGGCCTTTACTTCCCACATCACCCCCATGATGCTCCAGCCCCGGGACAGACGGCGGCTGCCTGGAGCACCTGGGGTCTGTGCTGTAGGTGGGGGAGGAGCCCTGGCTTTGGAGAGCAGGAGCCTTGGTGACCTTCCTTATCATAGGCATTGGATTTGTTCTGAGAGCGGCTGGCTCTCTGGGGCCTGAGGTACAAGGCTGGGCTGATGAGCCCCCTGTCTGCAGCCCTGAGTAGGGGCCAACCATCCTGGAAGGATCACAGGGCTGGGGAGACCCTGTGAAGTCTCTGAGGCAGTTTGTGACTTGTGGGGAGCAGCAGGTCTGCTACATGGAACCCCCGAAGTCACTCCCTGAAGCTGAGTCAGCAGCACCTCAGTGATCCAAGTTTGAACTCGGTAGTTTCTGCTGATTCCCTCACCCAGCCCCCAAATCTGCTTCTCTCCTCTGAGATGCTATTGTGGAAGGTCTCAGCTGAGGGGTTTGGGGGTTCATTCAGAGAGCCCCTCAGCTTCAGGAGACTGGAGGCCCAGAGAGGAGACCAGCTGCCCCCAGGCGTGGAGCTGGTCTGCCAGTTTCAGTGGAAAAATGTTTGCTTAAGAGCTTGTTGTGTAAACAAGATCACACAGGGATAAGCTGCAGGGCTGCGGGAACAAATTGTTTCTAGGGCCCAACCTGGAGCTTGGGAAACCTGACGTGCTGGGGCTTCTCCTGTAGGTGAGAGGCCGGCCTCACCCGCTCACCTCTGGGCCTGCAGCGGCGCCCAGGCTGTGGTGGCTTCTTGGCCACAGCCTGGACAGCAGCAGCTGGTGGCCGTCTCTGGCTTGCTCGCTCCTCCCAGTGCTGTTTACCTTTGTCCCTCCAGAACCGGATCTCTGGCCCCGCACCAGCCCTCATTCCAGGGGGAGAGGGGCATCAGGAGGGGCTGAGTGGGAATGACGGGCGCCCCCTTCCCCGTGGGAAGCCATTGCTGAAGGCCGTGGGGGCTGCGCAGGTATTTCAGCCCTCCTGGGGGCTACAGACCGCTGTGGTCTGATGTGGGACGGGGGACGGACTTCCGTCGCAGATGGGCCTCCGTGGACTGGATGGCCGAGAGCTTCTGGGCCAACACCTTTCTCGGGGAGGGAGGCACAGCTTGGCTCTCCTGCTTTCGGAGGAAGTACGGCGCTATTTCTGGCCTTGTGGTTTTGCTTGTGGCTGAAGGGAGCCTCTGACCGCTCCTGTGAGACCTGCCTGCGTGGAGGATTCTGCCCTGGAGGCTCTTTGTCCTGTCCGTCACCCCCTGCTCTGCTCCACTGCAGGGTGAGGCCGGCCCTGGGCTGTGCCCTGTGGGAGGCTCACCTGGGGGCCCTGCTTCCTGGAATGCAGACCTGCTTACGGGCCCATTTGCAGGTGGGGAGGCTGAATGAAGCCCTAGGACCGCTGGCTTAGTGGCAGAGGGCAGGGTCTGTAACCGTGCGTCTCTAACCATGCCTTTCCGTTCACTCATTCTTTGTCTCCATCTCTGATGCGGTATCGGGGTCACAGCTTCGCAGAGCACCCAGAGCCGTTTGCGGGGTCCTTCCTCCCACACCTGCTACCCTGGAGCCGGTGCTGGGGGGTGGGGGACCCGATCTTACCTGCAGGCCCCCCCACCCTGTGCTGCCTCCTTCTGGCTCCTGTCCTCTGTCCTGCAGGTCAGCCTGCTCTCGCATGCCTGCAGCCTCTTGGAACTGGGTTACATGGGCCGGGCCATATCTCTGCCCCGTAAGGGCAGGGCCTTTGATATAGAACCTCCGAGTGTGACCCGAGGGGTCCTCTGTCCTTCCTTGCCCATCCTTGCTGTGGGTGAGGAGGCAGCCTCTTGGCTTGGCCTGGGGTTCCTGGATTCAGAGCTCACCCATGCCAGCTGTGCTGCCGTGACCCCGCCCTGTGTCCTGCACACCTGCAGGCTTCTTCTCAGATAATCCTGGAGTGCTTCTGGGGGTGCTAGAAAGCTCCTTGGCCAGTGGCCCCAAGAGTGAGTCTCAGTGTTGGGGCATCTGTGTTCAGGTAACAGCCTGTGTGCTTTTTGAGAGGTTTGGGGCTCCTGGCCAGACTGAGTTAAGCATGGCGGGAGTCCTAACCCTGCATGGACTGTTGGTAGGACTTCCGGGGTGCAGGGCTAAAGGGCTGCGGCTCGCAGAGCCAGGGAGAAGGTGCCCCCTGCCTGCATCACTGTGCTGTGCAGCCAGGCTCTGGCTCATTGCCTTCTCTGATCCTTTTCAGCAAGTGGTAGCCACGAATGTGCCTCCCGAGGACCAGGACAGCTCTGGGGATGACTCCGACAGCTTCTCTGGCTCAGGTGCAGGTAAGGTTGACAGCACCCAGGACAGCAGCGGGCATGGCCGGTGCCAGGCCAGGTGTCTCCCGGGCTCGGTGAGCACTGCTCCGTCTTCACCCAGCTGGCTGGGTGTGTGGTCCGTGCTGCCAGCAGCTGCCTAGTTGGGGTCACTCCGGGAAGGAGATGCACAGGCCTGGACACACCTTTTCTCACTCACTGACCGCAGGAAGGTGCCATGCTTCTTCCGAGCATCTGTGTTCCCATGTGGTTTTGTTTGTTTGTTGTGAGACTGAGACTTGCTATGTAGTTTTGAACTCACTATGTAGCCCAGGCTATTCTTGATGGCGATCCTCCTGCCTCAGCCTCCCAGTGCTGGGTTTGCAGGTGTGCGCCACCATGCTTGGCTACCACCTGTAAAATGGAGATGGTGCCCAGCCCTTAGGTTAGGGGCTATAGGGCAGCACAGAGCCTGTGGTGTAATCTTTCGGTCTCTTCCCACCCCACATTCCCTGCACCCTGTAGAGAGACCGGTATCCCCAGGCGGCTGCAGTGCGAAGAGACAGCTTTGCTTTTTTTGTTTGTTTGTTTTCCAAAGCGATCAGTGGGCTGTCTGCAGAGGGAGGGCTGGCCCTGCGTGCTGGGGAGACAGAGCCCCAGACCTTGCCCGGGAGCCAGTCCCCTCGGGTGAGCAGGCCCTGACTCACTCTGCTCCTGGCCCTGCTCCAGGTGCTTTGCAAGACATCCCCTCGTCCGCCTCCCCCTGGAAGGACACGTGGCTCCTGTCGGTGGGGCCCACGGCTCCAGAGCCCAGCGGCGGGGAAGCCACCGCCATCTCCACCCCCATCCTGCCGGCCGGAGGGAGGCCTGAGGAGGGAGAGGTGTCGGTGGTGTTGGAAACCAGGCCTGACATCACTGCCCGGGAGAAGGAGGTGAACCCTGAACCCAGGGAGCCCACACAACTCCCCACCACCCAGAGGGCCTCGGCGGCTGGAGCCACCACGGCCCAGGTGACTGCCACCTCCCATCCCCCTGGGGATGTGCACCCCAGCCAGGCCGAGACCGCAGCTCCAGCGGTGCCTAGCCAGCCTGACGGGGAGGACGCAGGTCCTTCTGCCACGGAGGGTGCCACTGAGGACGGAGCCCACCATGAGCTGCCAGTAGAAGAGGGCTCCGGGGAGCAGGTGAGCGGCTGTGGCGCGCTGTCCCATGAGCACATTGTGTCCCTGCCTGGAAACGGAGGGTACAGGGCCTCCCTCTGCCTCCCCCACGGTGGGGTGTACTCGTTAGGAGATCACAGCAAGTGGGCTTCCCCAAGAGGGTGTGTCCTCCCCAAAGCGTGGTGTGTGCTTCGTGTCACTTTTACCTGGCCTGCTGCAGACAGGGCCCAGTGTGGTGAGGGGCGTGGGGTGAGCCTTGGTCCTGAAGGGAGGCTGGGGTGCTTCCGGGCCAGTGGCAGCAGAGACCACACAGGTGGTGGGCAGTGCAGCTGGACACCACTGTGGCGGTGGCCCCGGCCCAGCCTGGCATGTCCTCCCCCAGGACTTCACGTTTGACACATCTGGAGAGAATGTGTCTGTGGCCTCAGTGGAGCCTGAGGACCGGAGTGACACCGCCGTGGACCAGGGGGCCTCGCAGGGCCTCCTGGACAGGAAGGAGGTGCTGGGAGGTGAGTGGGGACGACCGACTGGCATGGGGGCGCAGCAGTGGCCGTCCTCGGCTGCAGCCTGTGCTGCCTGGCCCCGGGTGGGCCTGCTTCGGGCCTGGCCCCGGGGCTGAGCTGGCCTCCGTGTGTCTGCCTAGGGGTCATTGCCGGCGGCCTCGTGGGGCTCCTCTTCGCTGTGTTCCTGGTGGGCTTCATGCTGTACCGGATGAAGAAGAAGGACGAAGGTAGCTACTCCCTGGAGGAGCCCAAGCAAGCCAACGGCGGTGCCTACCAGAAGCCCACCAAGCAGGAGGAGTTCTATGCCTGAGCACCGCAGGCCGCCGGCCCCTGCGCTCGCTGGGCCCCACTTGCCTCTTCATGAAGAACTGCAGGCCCTGGTCTCCCTGCCGCCGTGCGCCTCCCCGGCTCAGCTCGGGCCCTCTGGGCGCTCCCGCCCGGGCAGGTGGGGAGCTCACTCTGCTTCTCTGATCTCCACTGGAGCCTTGGGCGCGAGGGTCTCTCACCGCCACCTCTCCACAGCTACGCCTGGCACCTCGCCATTCTGGCTCAGTTTCTCCAAACTGGAGCGGCCCCTCCCGCTGGCCGTGGTGACGAAGGGGACCCCGCTGCTCTGGACCTGGATGGCCCGCCCGGCCGGCCGCGTAGCGCTTACTGTACGGGCGGCAGGCGCGCGGGCCCAGCCGGGCCTCACTTTGGCCGTGGGGAGGTCTCACCTAGATTCCCACTTGTTTTTGCACATGTTTCCGCTAGTTTCTCTGTTCGCAGCCCCAGTAGACTTCATGGCCCCCAGGTAAGTTAAGCCAGTTGATTTGGTGTCCCCGTCTTCACTGCCCACATCTACGTTCAGGAGAGAGAGAGCATCAGGGTTAAGAAGACTGTTGTTTAGGTTTTTGTTTTTAACTAGGAGAACCAAGTCTGGAAGCCACGTACAGGGGTGCTTGGTGTGTGGCTGAGTTTGTCACTCATGTACAACAGGGTATGGACGATCCATTTGGTAGCCCCATTTCTGCTGGCCGGTCCCGGTGCTGGGGGCAGCCACCTCTCGAGCAGTCATGCCTGTGCCCATGAACTCACGGCCACGGGTGGCCCAGCTCACTGTGACAGGGAGGAGCCGATGAGGAATCCGATCCCGGCCCTCAGGCTGGGGCTGGAGGAGAGAGGACTGGGGCGAGTGGAGGTGGCGGCGATGCCAGGCGCCCTCCTGCCTCTGGCATCGCCTCCTGGGACACTTTCTCCTGGAAGCCGACAGGAGGTCATAGCACACTGCTGCTGGCTCCTGCAGTAAGAACTGAGTTCTCCTCTGGCTCTCGCGGCTGCCGCCCATGCCGGAGTCAGGAATGTTCTCCAAAGAGTGATAGTCTTTTGCTTTTAGCAAAACTCTACTTAATCCAATGGGTTTTTCCCTGTACAGTAGATTTTCCAAATGTAATAAACTTTAATATAAAGGAGTCCGTGAACTCTGCTGCCTCGCTCCTTCTCTGGGCTGCTGTGTGGACGTGTCCAGCCTTATTCCAAGTGCTGGTGGCTTGGGAAAGGTGGCTGAAGGCTTTGTGGCCCCCTGGACGGGATGGATTCGGGGCCAGAGCTCCTCTGGTTGATCTGGTTTTGTTTTGCCTACAATTCTTCGGGACAGTGGCAGGTGGAGCCCGGGCTTTGGACGGCCCGGCCGAGGATGCCCCCTCTCCCACACCTTCGTGGGGTCGGAGGCCTGGCCCTGGGCCCTGCGACTTCCTGCCCTTGCTTGCTTCACTGGACACCCTTGTGGCTACTCTAATGGCTGCTCCTCGAGGTGAGCTGTGCGCTGCCCTGAGGCCACCGCCAACCCAAGGGACATGCGCCCTGCACTTGCTCTTGGACCGCTGAAGCGTTTGACCGACGTGACTCCAGGGTCACGTGTGGTCAGTGTAGGGTGCTGCCCGAGCCCCTAGCTGGCCCGTTCGTATAGTTGCAATAAACAGTACTTGTCCTTGTGGCCAGCAGACGAGGTGGTGGTGGTGGTGGAGTCTCTTCGGCCCAGTGGGTCCTCCTCTGTCTCCTTCTCAGAATGGGTGGCTGCCTCCACCGTGCGGCAGCCCTGTATAGACTAACGGGATCAGCACTGATCCCTCCTGCAGCCGAAGACTCCGTCCTTCTCACCCAAGCCGCGGAGCAGATCTTCCCAACTCACTTCCTGCCAGTGTGCCCTCAGGGTCCTGACTGGGCTGCCCGCTGCCCAGGCCCTCGGTGGCTCCCGCCCGCTCAGAGCTTGCTGTCTTACTTGGTTTGCTCAGGGTGCAACCTGAACAAAAGTCGGTAGCCAACAGTCCCGAGTGCCGGAGACCCAGGAGCTTTGTCTGCACACTAGAGACAAAGGACAGCACAGATTCAGGGTTGAGGTCAGGCCCCACTCTGAGGGCCCAGCTGCCTCCTGTGAGTCCACCAGCTCTCTAGCTCTGGGTCCCAGGCCTGTACTGGTCAGTGGGAGCGGGAGGACCCATTCTCCCTCGGCCCTGGAACCTGCAGCTCCAGCTGGTCTCCAGTGAGCCATGCTGCGAGCATTCAGAGGCTAAGACAAAGCCTCCAAGTCATTCATTCATCCAGCAAACACGGATGCCAGAGTGCCCATTTCCTGCCAGGCCATGGGTTGGAGGGCGAGGGCACAGAGGCTTGGCTCCCCAGATACTTAATAATTTTATTAATGTCTCTTCCCCACGGGACTCGCAAGCTCCCAAAACCTCAGCCCCTGTGTCACCTCCATCCTAGCCATGTAGATTAGATTGCTTCCTTCGCCACCTTGTCCTGCCTGCCCGCACACAGTCCTCTGGGTCTGTGTTTTCCTGCCTTGGCACCAAGGACAGCATCGTGCCCCAGAACAGATTTCGCTCACTGAGAAGCGAAAATCGAGTTCCTCCGGCAGCCCGGTCTCCAGCCACCTCTGCCTGCCTCTCCGGCCCAGCGGATTGTGGCCCTTCTCTGTCCGTGTGTCCACTTTCCCCTGACTCTTCCCCGCTTCCTCTTCCGTGCTGTTAGCTTGGCCGGCAGCAGGGCCTGCATGTGCAGGGCCTGTGTACACATTGCGTAGGAATACAGGGCTCAGGGAGATTCCGTCTTTCACATTGCGGTATTTTCTAACAATGAGCCTCCTCCTCTTAGCTAGATTGTGCCACCTCCTGCATTTGCAGCGGGGTTGTGTATTTAAATTTCCTCAGGGGTTTTGCTTGGACAAGTTGATCCGTCCAAAACACAGATGCTGGACCTCTTTTTTGCCTGCTCTTGGGGCATGTGGCCTCTGGAGACAGCTGTGACATGGCGTTAACATGTTCCACCTGCGCGGGGTGAGGGAGCACTGAACCCAGCCCAGGGTCTGGCTGGCCAGAGTGAAATTGGCTTCCAACACAGAAGGGAAGGCAGCCCTCGGTCAAGGTGGGGCTCGAGAGGCCAGCAGGTGTGGGGAGAGGCCAAGGCCAGGCAGTAACAGCTGGTGGCAGGAGAGCGGGCGGTAGGGACAAAGCCTAGCAACCATAAGGGGCCAGGATGGAGACGGGGAGGAGAAGCAGGGTCCGCTGGGTGCTCCTCTGTTCCCCCACGGTGCACCTGACGGGGAGAAGGTGCCCGTGATGAGGGTGGGACTCCCCGGAGGAGAAGGGACCGCAGCCCGAGATGGGTGTGGATGGGCTCCTGGCAGAAAAGGCTTCCACACATGGGTCTCCTGCCCCCCACCCCGGGCCCAGGATTGCCAGGATTGCTCCAAAGTCTGTCTCAGGCCTCTTCTCTTCTCGCAGGCAGCAGGGAGGATCTGGGCTGCCTTGGAAGGAGGGTGAACTGGTCTCTAGAGTCAGATGAGCAGGAGCTAGAGCATCCTGGGCCAGGGAAACCGAGTCCCGTGGAAACTGCCCTGAGCCCAGAGACCCAGAGCCACAGAGGGGGGTACCTGCCAGCTCGGCCTGGCCACAGCAGCCCCTGCTTACCACCCCCAACTCCCGAGTGATGCCGTACCCCACTTCCTTACCTAGCTACGGGCCACAGCCACTTGTACGCTGCTGTGAGTGGGCAAGGAGGGGCGTGTGAGCCCAGGTCAAGGTGGGTGAGTCCTCAGTCCCCTCTCGCTTCTGAGATGCTCCTCGTGAGCACCTGTGCCTCTCGCTACAGCCGCCGGTGTCCAAAGTGGCTTCTGGCTGCCCCTCAAGGGCAGGAGCCGGGCACACAGGGCTCTGTGAGAGTGGGGAGTCTCCGCCTGCGGGCGCCCATCTGTCTGAGTGCTATTCTGCCATGAAATTCTAAGAACCCCTAGAAACCTATGAGCAACACACAGCACCCCACACACCAAGGGCTGGAACTGGGGAGGAGAGTGCGGCCCCAGAGGCAGGCGGCCCAGCCGGGGAAGCAGGTCCATGGACGGGAGAGCAGGTGAGCTGTGGCATAGTCCCACAGCGGACCAGTACTCAGCGATAGAAAAGGACAAAGGACGGATGCATACACAGCGTGGGTGAACATCCAAGTCCACGCATTCAGTGCCAGAACCCGGACACAGAGCCCACGCTGCACGTCCCGTCTACGAAGCTCACTGCTGATAAAAGAGGTCGGTGTGCGCCTCTGGCCCAGGGTGCGGGGTCCACAGGGCAGGAGCACAAAGGAACCGTCCAGGGCGCGGAAGTGTTCTCTGCTGGATGTGGGTGGCGACTGTGTGAGAATGTACAGGCAAACAAACCATCGAGCTCTGCGCACAGACCAGTGTACTCCATGTTATTCTGCGATAGGAAAGTTAGAGGGGAAAAATCCACGTAGAGAAAGACTTCTGCGATTCTAATTAGTCCCTTAAACCCCACCGCAGGGCTTGAGGCAGAAACCAGGGAGGCCCACATGGCCTGCGTTTGCCTCGGAATCCCAGAGGATTCTAATTTATAGGCAGGCAGGCCCAGGGCGAAGAGTCTCCCAGCCGTGTGTGGAGCAGCGCTCCCCAGCCTCCGATCTGGGCCTCAGGGGTCCGTGCAGTGGCCCCTCCTCAGCTGCCGGCAGGGTGGGCGCTGGCCCAGGGCAGCCGAGCGCCAGCCTCCCCCGTGGCAGCTGCTGCTCCTCTTGGGTTCCTGGAACCTGCCCTGCCCAGCCTTCCGTCTGGGAGCCAGGCCGTTCCTCCACTCCAGGAAAATATTTGTTCAGGGACTTGGCACCTGAAAAAGAGAAAATAAAAGCCACCTTGGAGTCAAGCGGGCGGCCCTGCGGCTGGGCGGAATGCTTTGTCTGCCCCTCCAGATTGCCTCCACTCGGAAGCATCTGGGGCGAGGTGCAGGGATGCCACCCCCCAAACAGACCTGCCTTGGGGAGGGGCCTGTGGTGTCCGCTCTTGGTTCATTCTGTTCTCGGTCCTTTGTCCTCTCTGCAGGACACACTCACGGCTGGCATGCGCCAGCCACTCACAAGCCCTGCACTGTGGTCACCCTGGCCGCCCTACTTCTTGGGAGTGGAGAGGTCGGTCAGGCCAGTGCAGGATGCAGCTCAGGTCCCAGGAGCCAGCAGGCTGGGGACAGACAGGTGGGGGGGACACTGGAGGAGGAGGAGACAAGTCCGGGGTGGTGGGGCGGGGGCTTCCAGCACAAGCACAGGCAACCCGGGCCTGTGGTGTGGAAAGTTGACGGGGCCAGGCATCCAGATAGGAGACGGCAGGCAAAGTGGCCTCGGGTGCCCAGAGCCCGCCAGGGCAACAGGCTCAGGAGCTCGGACTTTATCCCCAGGGTGCAGGTGTGTGTTGGCTTTGAAACACTGAAACATACTGACTTTGGCTCTTGTTAATATAGAAAAGTATAAAGAAGAAAATCAAGTTTGCCATAAATCCCTCCACCAGAATGTTATCTGGTGAGGTTTGAAAAATTAAAAGACTGATTCCTTTGTGCGTGATTGAAAATCTAAGCAGCATGGAAGAGCACAGCATGAAAGCAGAATCCTCTCCACCTGCTTCGTGGGCCAGTGGCAGCTTCCCTGAACAGGTTTTCCGTACAGGTTTTCAGCGAGAGTCTCCATGCATGTACCTCTGAAGATAATCTGTGCTTTGGAAACCACAGGCTGGCAGGGCATGGTGGGGTGTGCTGTGGTCTCACGAGGTCAGGGCCAGCCTGGGCTGCTTAGTGAGATCGTCTCAAAGCCCAAGATGGAGGGCTAGCAGGGCTAGCAGTGTAGCTCTGCGGTGGGGTGTCTCTGAGGCTGATCCCCAGAACCACAAGACAACAGTGAACTGGTACCCAGTAGACAAGGCTACGCAGGGGCTTCCAGCTCAGCTCATCTGGGGAGTGTGGAGGACTCTGCTCCCAGCTTGACAGGCTGCACACACTCCACTGTGCGAGTGGACAGTCGCTGACCCATGCTTTCTGCGGGGTGGGCACCTCAGGGCCGGCGCTGGCTGTCGTCAGCAGCGCAGGACTCACCCTGTGGAACTCCTGCGGACGCGCACACGGACCTTTGAGCCCTGGGTCCCGAG